AAATTCATTAAAGAAAATTGATGAATTATATTTAGTTTTTCATGAGTTGTCAGGTTTTTATCATGACTATTTAGGGTAACATGGTTGCATATGAATTTATGCTTACATGATGATATACATTGTTCTGTATTTTTATTTTTAAACAGGCTGGATTTACTACTGGAATGTGCGTCATCATACTGATGGGCCTTTTAACGCTTTATTGCTGCTACAGGGTAGTGAAATCACGGACTATGATATGTAAGAATTTGACACCGTAAAAATAGATTATGGGTATTAATAAGCATTTCCCCTTTGAGGCAGATCACTGATGTGTATATTTCACATGTGTGTTAGCTGTCTACTTTGCACTTAAAGATTTACTTCTCTAAATCAGTTTTCAGCTGAACTGATCTGGTAATGCATTAATGGCTGCCTTTGAAATTCAAAGAGGCTGGGAGTTACTTGCAGAATGCATTCACTTTGGTGCTACTTTCTTCATAAGAATAACTCACAAATGCCAAGTATTAAGTAATGTTTTCTGGCCCTTACTGATGGGTTTGTCTAGCCTTGGTTTATCATTTGTTTTTATTAATTATAAAATATTACAATGTTATAATCTGTTTCTCAGATTATCTGTACTATTTCATTGATCTACATTTCTTTTTTATGTTTTTTTCTATAATGTTTTAATTGCTATTATTGCATAATGTGTTCTAATATCAGCTGGTGAATGCCCATAGTCTTTTGCTAAGTATTTTGAGTTAATTTGGGAAACAAATCATGAATATGGAATATATGATTGACATCTAGTTTTATTCCTTTTTTTCTTTTATTTTTATCTAGCTTCATTGGATACAACTATGTGGGAGTATCCAGATGTCTGCAGATATTATTTTGGCTCCTTTGGGCAGTGGTCAAGTCTCCTTTTCTCCTTGGTGTCTCTCATTGGAGCAATGATAGTTTATTGGGTGCTTATGTCTAATTTTCTTTTTAATACTGGAAAGTTTATTTTTAGTAAGTATCCATATCATATGCTTTAACATAGTTCCTTTCAAATACAATTACTACTGTAATTTTTTATTTCCAGCCTCAAATTCTACAACTTGGGGTAAATAAAGTAAAAAAAATAATATATGTAATTTTGGGAAAATGTATTTTATTCAGTTGGTTTTCTATGGGCATGATCTCAAATATAATGTGTGTATAATGTTCATTTCCAAAAATTAATTTTTGAATGAATAATATTCCTTCA